TACTATCTATATATATATATATATATATATATATATATATGTGGAAGATACCACTGTTAGCCCAAGGGCTAACAAGAAGATATGAGCCCAACGGCCCAGATTGAGTCTAGGCCGATCTGACAGTCACGACCTCATTTCGTGTTTAAATTTTAATTTTTTTTTCTACAAAGCCAAATCACTTGAAATTTTAAGCATATGTTATTCTCAACAATCCGCACCTAATAAAAATATAAAAAAATAATCCGCAAAAAACAAATTGATAAAAATACCCCTAAAACTTTACGGGGGTATTTTGGTCATTTTATTTCATATAAAATATTTTTTTGATATTTTTCGAAGATTCACCTATTTTTTATGAACACACACCTAAAATTTCAAGTGATTTGGATTTGTAGGAAAAAAATTAAAATTCAAACACTACTGGGCATCTGTGATCGTCAGTTCGGCCCAAATTCAATTTGGGCCGTTGGGCTCATATCTTTCCTGTTAGCCCTTGGGCTAACAGGAAGATTATATATATATATAAGGGCTAACAGGAAGATTATATATATATAATCGGAAGCTTGGTCCAAAATTCCCGATAAACGAGCATTTTATTATTACATGAGTAATAATCCAGCAAAAGGAGGATCATTCAGAGTAGGCTCTATGGACAACGGAGATGGGATAGCTGTTGGGTGGTTAGGACACCCAATCTTTAGAGATAAGGAAGGGCATGAACTCTTTATAAGTCGTGTACATTATCTATATATATATATATATATATGTGGGTTATGTTAGGGTGTTTACATAATAGAGCATTTTATAAATTTACTCAACAAATTTGGGATACTTATATATCCTTGTCTTGTACATGGAGCATTTTGTAATAAGCGTATTTTTGGTTATAAGGAGGGGTGTGACATCATCCACATGAGGTGTGACATCACCCACATGGAGTATTGAATGCCATTATTGTGCTCTATGTGGGTGATGTCACACCCCTTCTAAGGATAAAAAATACTCTTACTACAAAAATTTGTTGAGTACAATTATGAAATGCTCTGTAGTGTGAGCACTCTAACATGTAAAAAATTCATGAGCATGCTTCTGCAGTATTTCGCTTATGGCTCGTCACCATCCAAAGTCCATCAGATGGTCATCATTGTTTGATAATGTTTGAATTTTAATAATTTTTCTACAATTCAGATTTAACTTGAAATTTTGTGGCTTTGTGTGCCTTAGTCAGGTGCACCTAAATAAAATATAAAAAATAATTTAAATAAAAAAAAAGACCAAATTTCTTCTATGAATATTTCAGAGGTATTTTCGTCATTTTATTTTTTGAGAGTTATTTTTTTAATATTTTATTTTGGTGCGAGTTTGTTAGATGCACAGACTCCAAATTTCAGACGAATTGGATATATAGAAAAATTATTAAAATTTAAACACTATCATACAACTATAAATGTACAGACTTTGGATGGTGATGAGTCATAAGCAAAATAGTATAGCACCGGAACATAAGCATTATTATCATTTAATACATGTAGATTATCAGTAGCACTGAAGAGTAGGCTTTATTATCATTTAACTTCCGGCTTCACGTTATGAAACTTTTGTCCAATATTTTCTTTGAATAATTTCTCATTAAGTCAGCATCTCTATTGCCTTTGATTCTTTTATCAAACTAAATTTGATTCTTTTATCAAAATAAATTTTGGAGATCTGGTTGGGGAGGGGGCAGGGTTTTCTTTTCAGGAGTGAGGGGTTTAAATAGATAGCAGGCACTTAGGTTGTTGCTTCTAGCTGAAAGAAAGATTTTTTTCTTTTTTCTTTTGTTTTTTGAAGTAAAAGCTGAATGAAGAGCCTTTTGAATTTAAATCCTTTCTGTCTACCAAAATGCTCCATCCATCACTTCATACAATAAAACCCATGGAAGCTGTTTTCCTTTCCATGAACTTTAGAGTTTTCTCACAAATGACACTGATGATGTAAATATCCAAACTCATTGTATCGGATCATGGGTTCGTTATAGATAAACTGCATCACGTAAGAGAGGCTAAAAGTCAACTGGTGAAAATAACTCAATACTCATTTAATGAAAGGGCTTTGGAGGCTAAAACGTTAGCATAATTATGCTGTTTTACCTGTTTGTTTGCTAAATTCAGATGGAAATTGCTTGTGCTTTTGTTGAGGCTCTTGTAATCCTTTATAAACAACTCGGTGGAATGTATTCTTTTTATGAATATTACTGCTGCCTGTTGTACAATCCATTATATTTATGTGGAGGCTTGCCTTTGATAGTGGTTCTGATTTTTGCTTGCAGGTCCATGCTTAAGTTGCTAGATGTTTTACTAAACCTCGATCATCTCAAAAATGCCAAAGCAAGCATACCTAATGATTTTTCATGGTACAAGAGGTATGTTTGTCCTTTGCAACAATAAAGTTTATCTCCTCATCCCTGATGTTGCTGATTAGATTTATTTTTTATCACCTTATTAGGTTTCCGACTTAATGTGTATATCATTTGGTTTAAACTAGTAACTATAGGAAATCAGAATTATTTTTTGGTCTTTTGAGATGGATGCTTAATTAGTCTCTTTGGTTTTTTAAGCTGTATTGTATATGGAGTTAAATGCCTTTGTATTGGCCATTGAGTTGATTCTCCTCATTATTATTCATTTCTATTCTGCTGAAACTGAAACAATATTATTGCTGAATGATCTAGGTATGCATCCTATACAAAGAAAACAATTGTATGGGTACTGTATATTTTATATTTTATACTTAGGTTCCATTTTTTTATAATGAATATTGTATTTTAATTTTATAATTTTTTCTATATATCCAATTAAGCTTGAAATTTGGGCATCTATACTTCTTATCATAACGTATTTGTAAAAAACTATTAAAAATATAATTAACTCAAATACACATAAACAAAATACCCCTACAAATTTCAAATTTTAGAGGTATTTCTGTCATCTTATTTATTTTAAAATATTTATTTGGTATTGTTAAAACCCTTTGTTATCTAAGTTTTAGATCTAACTGTCCTAATTATGTGTGTATGGGCAGTTTTGTCTGTATCATATTTTTTTAATAAAATATATGGCTGGGAGGTGCGGGAAGTGACATTGAACCTCACATTTCTCTCTCCTTTTACATCTCTCTCTTCTTCTTCTTTAGCCTTTTGTCTTTATATTCTTTGACATGGTATTAGAGCTGGTTCTGAATTGATTCTTTTGTCTTCCCTTTTCTTTCTTGAATCCTTTATCTTTTCATGTTTCTCTTTCCTTTCATCTTCCCCCTTTCTTCCCCTTTCCTTTCATCTACTCTTTTTTTTTTTACCATTTCCTTAGAAAAAAAAAAGGAGACGGAGAGAAATCATGATCTTCCCCTTTCTTTCTTTTTTTGGTAATCATAAAACCCTATGATTGTTCGATGCTGCTGCTGTGTGTGATTTCTTTCCCGACATCAAGATCTACAGAGAGATCATGACCTAGTTTCAAGTTTTTCTTTAACCTTGTACTAGGCTTGTGTGAGTGATTGAAATTGGTCGATCGTGGTTGTCCTTATTCTCCCTCATCTTTTTATGCTCATAAATAAGGAAATTAAATTTTTAGTCATCCTGAAATTGTAGGGATACAAATCACCTTGGTAAAATTAAATGAGTCCAATTATGTTGTACTAGCGCAATTTGTCAAATTATCCGTTGGTGCAAGGGAAACCTAAAATATTTTTGACTAAGGACATGCATAGTAATTCTGATAGTAGATATGAAAAGTGGATGAGGGAGAATTACATAATCCTGATCATAATTACCCAGATCTCCTACTTTGGTAGGCAATCCCTTCTAGGATCTCGATTCTGTTGTTCACGGAACAGATCTATCAGGGATCTCAATTTTTAAATTTTGTAATCTCGAACCCCACTCATAGCGATCCCGATTCCTGCTGTTAGGGTCCTCGATCCCAACCTTAAAGACTAGACAACAACCAAACTGATGATTTTCATTATTTATGCCAACTAGCAACACAACCATTGCTTGCTTGCTATCAATAATAAGATTTCTACTTTAAAGAGTATACGTAATCCTAGATTATTACACACTTTAAGGTTGATAACAAGATCCCCAAAAAGTTGGGATCAAGATCCTAAAGGTGGAGATCAAAATCTCCAGAAGGTTGGAATCTCGATTCGGAACATTTGGGAATCTCGATCCCTAACATGTGCATTGTACGGGCGGCATTCCCAACGATAGGGATCTTCTAGCATTTCACGATCTCTTGCTCCCGATCCTGGTACCATTCCCGCGCTCGATCCCAACAACTATGATCATGACCTAGTTGTCGAGTAGTATGGGACCCTAAATTAGTGCCAATGTGATGTTTCTTGATACAACTAAGGAAATTTGAGGCATTTTAAAAGAAACATATTCATAAGATAAAATATCTCCGGGGTATATGAGCTGTTTGAGGAAAATTTTCAATTGCAATAGGGTAATAAGATTGTGAGTGAGTATTATAGTGGCATCTGGGGTAATATGGGTAGAGGTAAATCTATATCTTGTTATGTGGAGTTAAAGAATTGACATCATGAAGGAAGAGTTAATTCTATATGAGCTTATATCTAGGGATGTGGAATTAAAGAATAGGCAGCATGAAGCATTGAGGTTTACCAAATTCTTATCTGGCCTTATTCCTGAGTACCGTAGGCAGTGAACTCCCATCTCTCACGGATGTTTACTCGCGGATTCAACGGGTCAATATATCTGCTTCTTTCTCTCCATTTGATTCAAGTATTAGTGATGGATCAACATTGAATACATTTGTAGGGAGAGGTGATGGAAGCATAGCTCAGGGATTTGGTCATGACTCATGAAGACGCTGAGGTAGAGGTGATGTGGCACGGATCGAGGAACTCGCAAGTGTACGCATTGTGAGTGTACAAATTATGCGGTTGACAAGTGTTGAGACGAGATTGGTAAGCCTGTTTGGGCAGGTTTACCATTTGACAAGAAGTCTACCACAGGTTATTGTATATTTATTTGCGGAAACTTGGTAACATGGAGAAGTAAGAAACAAAATGTTGTGGCTAGATCTAGTGCAGAGGTTGAATATAGAGCGGAAACAAAATGTTGTGGCTAGATCTAGTGCAGAGGCTGAACTGCATAGTAAGATATGCGCACGATATGTGTCCAATATTATATGAACATACAAAGAACCTAACCACTATAACACATATTACTCTTCAGGCACAATTCATATTGATGAAATTCTTTGTTATTTTTTACCAGTTACAAACTATGCTGGCCACTAAATAGACTCTTTTCTGGCTGCACCTTTCATTTCCCCACTGGCATGAATAGATGCACAGCTGTCGGACTTCACTCCCACTCCTCCTAGGATAAAATTTCCAGTTAGCCTTCGCTCACCCACCTCAGATCGCATTCCTCTATCCACTACCCTAGTGCCCCCCATCTCCGTATCCCAATCCTGCTTTTCTTCACCCACAAACTCGAACCCATCTAACTCAACTCCACCAGTACTGCCCAATGCAGATCCCAGGCACCTTCTTCGCCTTTTTAGAGATCATCTACCCTCCTACTCACAAAAATTCTGACGCCCCAATTCTCTTCTCCGCACCCCCCTTTCCTAAATGCACTTGAACTAACTGATTAAACACTCTGGTCCCACTTCCTCCTAAAAGTTTCTCAGCCATCTCCAATTTCGACCTATCTTCCCTATCCCAGATAACAACCCACAAATAGTTGGAATGATGATGATGGGCTCCTCTACCCCTATTCATTCCTCCAATATCCAGTTCTTCTCCCTTCCTCCTCCAACTCCTCCTCTTAGTCCACACCCATCCCTCTTGCTACCCTTACCTCTAATCCCATCCTTGTGGCCCCAATCCATCCCACCTACCTAGCTTGTCCCACCCCAATCACCAACGGTCCTCATCACCTCGCAACCCATCCTTTACCTTCTTGACAACCCATCCCACCTCCCAACCCTCAGTGCAAATCCCCTAGCCTTTTCTTCTACTTAATCACTCTCCAGTAATCCCACTGCACCCCTCATGGACATCCATTTCAAACTCTTCATTATCGTCACCTGTTGACTTCGCAGATATCACTCAAGCCCTGCAGCAACAATCCATGAAGTTACCACTGCGCTACAAGGGATTGACAAAGAGCTCCACATTGAAGACATGCTGGACTGAATGGGTTTCTCTTATGATAGCCACGTACAGCGAAGCAGTGAATGCTCCTTCCCTTCCTTGTCAAGTTGAAGGGGGTGCAGGTGCGGTTTTGGAATCTCACTCACCTTCCCCCCTTCTTTGTTATCCCAGAAAATCGCCTTGAAGTCTCCTGCGCAATTGCATTCTTTATTGTTTTGAAGATTGGTATTTATTGTTGATTGTTGAACCACTTCTATGAATTGAAGGCATAATTGGATTGGTGAATTCACTATAATGTTTCCCCAGGCCTATAAATTGACCAAATAGACGATCTTGTAGGCCATTTTTACTGAATCTGGGTAACTAGGAAATATTAGAATAAAAGAACAAATAATGAAAACTAAGAAAAAGATAAGATATAGGATTGCTTACCAGAAAATTTCATTTTCTTGATACTTGTTTAAAATAGATTTTGACTCATATAAGTTCGTTGTCAGAGCTTTATGAGCTTCTGCATTTTTCTGAATCTGGGTAAGTAGGAAATATTAGAAAATAAGTAGAAAATATTAGAATAAAAGAACAAATAATGAAAACTAAGAAAAAGATATGATAAAAGATTGCTTACCAGAAAATTTCATTTTCTCGACACTTGTTTAAAATAGATTTTGACTGATAAGTTCGTTGTCAGAGCTTTATGAGCTTCTGCATTGGTCTGCATGGGAGATCAGCAAAGTAATGTCTTGGATGGAAACCCTATCTGCTCTCTGGAATGAAACCCACTTGGGCAAAAGGCGAGTACTTGTGGTATTTCACTGCTTTCCTCGAATTAAATAAGGGAGAGATTGATATACATAATTTACTTAGGGATGGGTATCTTGAGACCAGCTGGCCATGGATATGGAAGGAAGTAAAGAAAAGCAGTTCTTTTTCCCTGTTAATTAGGCAATGCAGTTGAAATATACTGCATCAAATCTCAATAGATTGATATTAATAAAAAACGTGCTTGTGATCCCCTTATGACTAAGGGTTTGAGATGTGATTGATTTATGGATTGTGGAGTATTCTGTAAAATTAGTTAACTTTGCTGATACAATCAGATTCTGACAGAATATTACTGGTGAATGGACATCCATTACCTGATTTGTTCAATTGGAGGAGCTGATTGCAAATAGTAGTTGAAGTTGGGTGGTGTATTATATCAGAGTATAAATATATTTACTTACAATAGTTTGATGTTCTAAAAGTGCCTTTTGCATGTGCTATCTTTTCTGTTTAGGAATATATATGTTATCAATTGTTAAAATTCTAGTGCACCAAATCTTATCATTTTATGGAGTATATTTAGTTATGTTGAAGACTATTTCATGTCTAGTAGGTTGAGTGGTTGTGCTTTGTAATAGTATTAACTTCTTTATCTCCCTTTATGCTTTTAGGACATTTACCCAAGTCAGTGTTCAGTGGCAGGATACTGATTCCATGAGAGAGGAGTTAGATGATTTGCAGGTTTGAGGAATTCCTTTATTTTAGTCTATCATGCTGTGGAATTTGTCTCTAACTATTTTCTCGTTGTTTGATTTCGCATATTGCGTACTTGGCAATTCTGTGATGTATCAAGAACTTTCACTGGGCTTAATTTGGCCACAGGCTTTTTTTGGCTACAATGTTCTTTTTGGGTTCTATTTATGTATAGGGAGCATATATTTCTAAGAGTTCTGGTTATGTAGTTCTTTTATTGTGCTATATTTAACTGGCTTTTGGCAGATATTTTTAAGCACGAGATGGGCCATACTACTAAACTTACATGTGGAGATGTTCCGCGTCAACAAGTATCCAATGCCTTGAATCCGTTTTTCTGTCTTTCTTGTGTAGGCTTCCATTCTGTTATTTGGAGAAATATTCCTTTTTGATTTCTGAGAAATATGTATACTAGTAGTATGGAGTTCTTTGTTTTTGGCTTTGGTTGTACAAATCCCATACATATAATTGAAATGCAAAACCAAAAAGTTGAGCCCCATAGTAACAAGTAATGCGGCTTCCATGTACTGGCCTGATTTCTAGTGGAATATTATAATTCTACGATGTCATTTTTGACGACCAAATTTCTATTTTGGCTGCTTACACTTTTTGAAATTTGAAGAACTTAACTCAGACACAGTGTGGAGGATATCCTTCAAGTTCTTATAGTTTACTGTGTAGAGTCTTTGGAATCCGATTTCGCACTTTTGTTTCCGGAGCATTACTGTCTTCTGCGAGTTTTACCTGTTCTTGTTGTTTTAGCATCATCGTCTGAAAAGGATGGGGATTCCTTATATAAGAGGGTTAAAATTAATCGCCTAATTAATATATTCAAGGTATGACACTGTTATCTGACTTTTCCTTTTTTCCCTGGACTGTAGAATTTCTGTATATACGTTTCCTCATAAATGCTTCTTTCCAAATTATATGCTTAATATGTTTTTGGTTTACAAACTGCAGTAGCATGGTTTAAAATTATGTTGATTGTTTTGCAGAACGACCCTGTTATCCCTGCATTTCCCGATCTTCACCTTTCTCCCGCTGCAATGTTAAAAGAGCTTTCTGGGTACTTCCAAAAATTTTCAAGCCAAAGTCGCCTTTTATCACTTCCTGCACCGCATGAGATTGGACCCCGAGAGACACAAGAATATCCTTTATCTGATACACTTGTAGCATTTTGGTTCCTCCAAGCCATTTTGGTTGGGATGCCTTCTCTGTGGTAGTGCTAGCTTTGCATTTTCAGAAATGAAGTTTTCCTCATTGGCTCTAATGTGTTGTCTAATAGTGGACTGAGAAGTTTGCGTGTTTCTTAAAATCCTTTCTGTAAATATGTTAACCAGTGGAATCTTGCATGGACTTTATATTGGCATATTTGGTATTCTATGAAAAACGTGAATACAATTAGAAATTTGAAGGCAACAGAATCCAGGTAAAACTTAAGGGATGGTGAGTGAGTGCTTACCATTTATGTGGTAAAATTGGCTCACATCTCTGGCAGCTATTGTATGTCTCTTTTTGTAGGTTCGAACATGGGTTCTTGTAGTCTTTTGTATTGGAAGAAACTGAGCGAATGTTGTCTGGGAAAAAGGAAGATCAGGGGGAAGAAATACCATGCACAATTCCACATTGCTGAAGTTCCCTCTTTGCCTTTATGTCCCTTTTGGGGGTGTTAATGTCAGTTGGGTTATGCAGTTTGAGGATCATCAAAGGGATTCCTTCCAGAATTTTGGCGAGCAAAGTGAGTTCCATGTACTGTGGGGGACACAGGTGTTTAGTATCAAATTTTAAGGTTGACGAAGCATTTAGAATGTTCGAGTTTATTAAGTAGTTTGGATGGACGGGCTTCTCAGTTTCTGGCAGGAGTGAGCTTTTGGAGAAAAATGCTAATGCATAAATTGCGAGGTGGAAAACTGATGCAGGAAAATAGAGAAAGGAGGCCAAAAAAGTTCAATAACCATCAAAATAAGCTAGATTTGAGTGGATCTGGCTTTCTTTGCACAAAAACGTGACCCTAAAACTTCTTGATAGGGCTTGCTGGCACCATTCACAATCTGTTTTTACTGTTTACGCCTCAAAAAATGGTAAAAACCCCAACACCCCAGGTCCTTTTATTACATTATGAAAAAAAAGGGCCAAAACTACTCCTACTTAAGTTAAAACATTATAAAAATATCCTGTAAGTCCCTTCGCTTAAAATAAAATGTAAAAGATCTCTAAATTGCCGCTAACTTTAATTGAAAAACTAGAAATAACTAGAAAATTGTAAAAACAACAATAAAAAATAAATTCCTTCAAAAAGTCAGTTTTCTCCTCTTGGATCTCCTTGCAATCTTGGGATGTTGATCATCATAAAGAGGTTCATCAAATGATGGAATGATTGAGTCAAGAGGGTCATGAAAACTTTATTGACTAGTCAAAGGACTGCCAGACGCATCAAAATAAGAGAAGCGTCAAATCACGCATAAGGAGCTTAGTGTTTTGACAGATGATTTCAAAGGAGTCATTATAGGGTGTCATTGTATAGAAGACTACATGCAGATTTTGGTGGGTGCTTGTGTGTTTTATTCTTTTGTATTTTTAGGTGACTATTGTTTTGTGTTGGTCACCCCTCCTCTAGGGTAGTGTCTGTTGAAAGAGAACAAGATCAAAAGGTTGTGGAACTTCTATGGTGGAAATAAGTTGTTTGCTCCCTTTGTAGTCAAATATTTGATGAAATGAAGAATTTAATGGCTGCTTGATTGTTCTTGGAGAGCTATATTTTTTGAACCATAATTGTTGAAGGCGGGGGTAGGTGTGAGAGTTGGAGTAGAAATGGGAGCATGGGATCTTTGCTTGCTAGGAGTTCCCTACCTTGGGAGTGCCCATACGATAAATATATTAAAATGTAGAACTATTTAAAAATAAAAGATTATTGATAATTTATCAAGAGAAATTTAGGCTCATACCCCCTAGATATCCGTTATTACCATTTTCCCTCCAACATTTTGTATGACATTCACCCGCTTTTTACCCTTTTTTGTTTTTCCTAGAATACCCCTACTTTGGACCTTGAAGGTTTAAAGTGATGACAACTTCAATTGAAGTCATGAAGAACTTTTTTACTCTGACTTGACTTTGGACCTTCAAGTTTCACAGTCAACTTCGGATCTTGACTTTGGACCTTGAAGATATAAAGTCAAGACTTGTAGACTTGACTACGGATCTTGAAGATCTGAAGTCATGAACTACGTTACTACTTCAGACCTTCAAGATCCGAAGTGGTAAATAAATTATTGACTTCAGATATTGAAGGGCTGAAGACTTTTAAATTGGTTTGGTTCTTTAAGATTTGAGATGATGTAATTCTCAACCACTTTGGACCTTCAAAGTCAAAGAAGGTCCAAAGTGGGGCCTTCTTAGGAAAAAATGAAAAAAGTGAGAAAAAGTGCGTATGAACCTAAAACACAAAAATTTGGTGGGGTTATCTGTTTGGGGGGGGGAGGGGGGGGGGGGGGTGGTGCATGTAAGTCTCATTTATAAACAAATTTTATATGTAAATTTAATGTATGAAACATATGTTTATTACACTAACAAATAAGTTTACTCATATAAAATTTGATAGCAATAACTCATGTTTATTTAATTGAGTCTTATCATATAAAGGTCATTCATAATAATATCATCATCATCATCATCCGAGGCTTATCCCAACTACTTGGGGTCCGCTACGTGGATCTTGTTTTGCCATTGTACTCTATCAAGGGCCATATCCTTCACGATAATATGCTAAAGATATTGATCTAACCTTGCATTTTGAATGATTATAAAGGATATTATTTTGATCGGTTGATATATGAGCACTGCCCTTTTCTTCATATACATACATTAAAAGGCACATTATATATATAGATGAGAGAGAGAGAGAGAGAGAGAGAGAGAGAGAGAGAGAGAGAGAGAGAGAGAGAGAGAGAGAGAGAGAGTACGTACGTACGTACGTACGTACGTACGTACGTACGTACGTACGTACGTACGTACGTACGTACGTACTACGTACGTACGTACGTACGTACGTACGTACGTAC